CATTTATAGAGGTCATAGTTTAGCCACACTACAATTGGCGAAAATGGAAAGAGTTTTCCACCCCAAGGAAATGAGAATGATTAGTGGATATAAGTGAAATATATGTGGGGATAGAAAACCGATTAAGTTGATTGAATTCTTGTCATAAAGATGAATTATAAATGAACATAGCGAAGAGAACCGCCAAAGCTAGTTCTGAAAAACAATAAAAATCAATAGAATATTGAAGCAACCTCCGGAGACGGGAAAGTGACTACTGCTTCCTGTTGAATCGTGAATCTTTGATCAGCCTGACTGACTTACCTTGAATCCGATCACTGAAAGTAAGTGTTAAACGAGGCAACTCAACCCAAGGGGTGAACTGATTGTCTGGCACACAATATAGACCTCAGTTTGCAGGCAGGAGTCAAATGGGAATATACATAGAAATGATCAGAGGGAAAGAGAGAGAGAGAAATTCCTGGATGAAGCCATTATCGAGAGAAAACTCTCCAAACGCGGGGAAGCTAGTCTAACAATCAATCGGAGGTAAACGGAAAGAAACATAATTTTAGAAACAATAAAACGGTGTCNCGGTGTCGCGGATGAGAGAATTCCAAGTAACGACGAGTTCAAGATCGCAGGCAAGTGATGCGTGGGTGATAAACCGACCATGATCTGCATCACATCTGGACTGAAATAGGGTGTGTGAAACTTGCCGAGACAGATGGTCCGGGCGTGGGGCGGGAGGCTAAGGGTTGTTAGAATAAAGACAGAAACTCTGATCCGGGATGTCTGTCGTATAGGCCGCACTGGTTTTTCAAGTAATGCTCGGAATCCGTCTCTTGGCTCATCAGACCGTTGCAAAGCAATTTGATTTGTCATATGCCATCTGTTTTTCCAACGCATCCTTCTTTCCGCACATTCTGGCGTTAGAAATATGCAAACTAGACTGAGTTCTGTGAGGCCGTAGTAACTATCTCTGACGCAATCGTGCTTTCTCTCTGGACTCATCCATTTCAACGATTAATATTGTGCAGACGATTTTACATGAGCTGGCAAACTAAACACCTCTGAATGGCTTACGAATAATTGTTCCCGCGTAGCCGGGGAGAAACCGCCTTTCCATCGTTGACGCTCGTACCCATTTATACATGTTTCTATGGCTGTTATGTGTGAACCTAGAAACATTTAAGCCAATAATTAAGAAATTTGGCCATAATTACCCTTCGTTTTAACCTTTTCACAGCCAAAGCCTCATTCTAATTTCATTCATCCCGAAATCTCAAAATAGCTTTTTTTGTCGTAGAACTAGAACTTTCTTCAAACACTGACAAATATGGTCCCATTTGTGGTCCCAAAATAACATCCAGGAATATTCATTAGATATACCCTAGCCACCAAGCCCGGATAGCACCCAAGTAATCGTGCTCAGAACTTGCGTTCCTGGGTTGGTATTTATTCTCAGTTTCTTCTCTTCCAATATCATTCTAGTGATGTGTTTCTCAGTTTTGGGAAAACTGTTTACCTCTCTTCCATGTCTAATAGAGATATATTTTTTGATTTATACAGTCACAGCCACATCTTCTCCGCATTATTTCTCTCTTTAAGCCCATGGAACGCGTAACGGGTCGCTTATGTGTTACCTTGGTATTACTAGTGCCTTCCAACGAGTTTGGTATGACGGGCTCGTGACGAGACTCCTCATGCCTGATCTCTATCTCTGTGTCTCAACGTTACCACCGAGATGCTAAGCTCCTTTGGCGACCGTTCAATCTTGGCTCCTGTTGGTCGAATCATTTTGAGAAGACATCCACTTAACTCCGGCGTTCCATAAAGTTCAATTTTATCTCCCATCACCTTCTCTCACCTTTCTCTTAATCGACGACCCTTTTACCCAAAATTCAAGTGCTTTTTCTGATGATGCCATCCTAGGTTGTTCTCTTTCCTAAAAGAATTCCCGTGATCTTTTCTGTATCTTACTCGGTTGCAGTCAACTATCTATGTGTGCTTCACAGTATTCAGACCGGAGTGTGCTACCGTTACTTGAGGCTCAGAAATCGAAGTCGTTTTCATCTTATCAAATTCTCTTGTATATTTGTACCTCCAGAAGCCTCAGTGTGGTCGGGGGTGGGTGTCTAGGGTTGTGGCAGGTCACCCTTCCCTTGAACTTCTCGAAATGCTTCCATACGACCAAGCATCTCGAATAGCCCCTATTGAGGAAGCCCTGCTCACTACCTTCTTGTGTTGGAGGTGTATTCCCACCAAGGTGAGAGGACGAAAAGCCGACATCCGGAGCTATGACCGGGTTGGTGGACCACTGGCAGTTCACCTAGGGGAGTTGGCTAAAAACCCTAATTCTANATTCTAAACGAATCAAGAAGAGTTGTACGAACCATACCCACACCTTTCTGGTTGTGGCAGTGGTCACCTGGTCGATTGGGCATTGAAGTGTATTGGGCACCTTGGACGTTTGACCCCGTCTGAAGGGCGAATGATCCGATGAACTGGACACGGGCTCCCAATGGATTGTGGTTTTCACACACCTCCCCGCTGCCTTACGGGTCAGGCTTTGGCTAGCCGAAGGCTCCGATTGTGGATTCCTCAAGAAAATTCACCTGCCTTGACCTAGGCAACTTGGCAGTATTCAGCCCACAAGGCAATCATGGACGGTTATTCTTTTTTATAAAAATTATTGTACCATGATTTGCCTGGCACACAGTCTGTCCTCATACAAGTGATATATATATATATATATTTACCACGGAGCCTTATTCCCTGCGTTCATAATCTGCATTTTGACTCATATCCCCTTCGTGCACGAGTCTCCTTTGGCTGCTATTTTCCCCTTGCGTATTTTGATCTCCTCATATTGATGAACTTGCATAACCTGATTTTATGAAGGTTTCGAAACTTTTTTGCATAGATGTATTTCTCATTTCTCAATTTCTCACTCTTTACAAGGCATCATCTTATCCCGTTATGGAATGTTTTAGCCATTTTGAAGGTTAGTCATTTGTCTTCGTTGGCCTTATGGATCTTGTTAAGCGCAAAGTCATTCTCATTGCTGTGATTCCGTTCCTAAAATTCACTCCTTTTAACCATTTGTTTTTCACTAAGAGATGATCAGCTCCTCATCGTTTTTCTACTTTTATTACGACGGATTTTACTCTGCAGAGCTTAATGATTGGGTTCCTCGTCCGCATTCATCTGCATGTTAGATTCGGTCACGGGTTTTAAAATCATCCATACCAAGTAACTCTAAAAATATGCTTTTCTGCCAAGCACGGCGTAATGGGGGAGCACTCTTCGTTAGTCTGTTTGTCCTTTCTTTAAAACCCTTCAGGATTGAATTGCAGATTGATTCAGTTTTGTTTTGATGCATGGTATTTCACTTCTATTGTACATTATGATCATAAACAATATACTAGCCACGTAATTAGAAAATTGTAATTGATGGTTCAAGACGCTGGGGTGTTACCGTGTGCACGTGTTTGCTCAGTTGCTAAATGCTTATCCACAAGAAATCCGTAGAATCGTCACACAACAGAGCAAGACTAATAATGGTTGTGAACACTGAACTTAGACTAGAGGTTTTGGACGCTTCATCAGTAACACAATAGAAACAATGAAGCGAAGAGGTGGAGGAATGAAACCTTGGCAAAATTACCAGACACAGGGAACGATCGAGGCAGATACCAATCGACACGGACGAAGAAGCTTCGATTTCGGTGAAATCGTCACAACCCCTTTACTGGAGCGGGATAAAATTCTAAATTTGATGGTATCAACAACGAATCTTCTCGCCAAACCCGGTCGAAAGCCTTTGAGATTTTGGGCGAAACTAAGTGGGTCACTGCGTAGACCAAAATTGAATTCAACAGGGACTGTGAGGTGAGGGCTGATATGATGTTAGGAAATCCTGGTTTGGTAAAACGACCTAATTTACACTGGTTGATACTGATTGTTGTTCCTTTTTTGAGATACAATGCTCCGTGAGATCTGCTTATTGGTTCTTATTTTGAGATTGAGAAACCGGTTTATTGGTAATGAACAGTATGATATGATGCCCTCGATAGTTTAGAGAATGTCTGCTTCAGAATATATTTCAGTTTTTCACAGCAGGGTTCTGGGTGCGCTGAAGGTATAACTAATAGTTCTATACTATTTCCAGAATCGGCTCACAGTGGTGATGCTAGACAATATACTGTGCGTGTATTTAACTGTCTATTATTAATATGTTTGGGTTTACCTGAGGCCTCCCTCTGGGTGTACTGCATATCAGACCGAATTGGGTGATATAGCTATATACCAGGTGCGTCATTTTTAAGGTTAACTCTGAAAAATCTCCTGGAGCATGTTTCGGCGGCCATAGCTTCCAATTCCTTTGAAAGGTTCAATTATCAATCTTACTTCAACTGTTTTTTTGCTTTGCCTACATCACTCATTGGCATTCGGACGAAAATAATTCATATTTTCTTTAATATAGATTGCTTCATCCGTGGTGTTGGCTATCATCATGCAGGTCTAACTGCAGAAGATCGTGAAATTGTGGAAAAGGCGTTTGTCTCCGGTTATCTGGCAGTTCTGGGTAATTCGCCAGTTTTTATGTAACTGACTTGACTTAACTTAACTTAAAGCTTCGACAAGCACACTAGCCATGGGTTTGAATCTGCCGGCTCATCTGGTTGTCATCAAGAACACGGAACAACTGATAAACGGGGATTTGCGTGGTTACAACGCAACACAATTGTCCCAGATGATTGGCAGAGCTGGTAGGCCTCCGGTGAGTCATATTGTTTTGTTCTCTATCCTGTTTTTGCTAATCCATTCGACTGATTTTCGCAGTCAAATAACCATTTCGTACTAAAAAGTTAGTTGACCTTTTTGTCTTTTATGATATAATTATCCAAAAAGGCTGTAAAGGTTTTTTTAGATACATTAGTTTAACTCACCAGTAAATCACTTTTGATCCCTGTCGAGAAGACTGGAATTAAACTTGCGTTCCATTTTATCCAATGATAATATAGACCCAGTTACTTACTGGAACTGGGTGGTGGTCCAGATTTTCAGTCGCTGTCGCCGGCATACTTTAGACCCAATGGTCCGAGGTTCTAACAGGCAGCTTTGCCTTCGTCCGGTTCAATACCACGCGTATCCCTGTGGGGCTCTATGTAGTTCGTCACTCCAAGTCTTGGGGTTTAATTTGCCGGTTTTCATCACAGAATAGCAAGTCTTCTTGACAATGGAATTCATTCCGTCTGATGTTCATCACACAAAGTGTATGTAATAAAGAACGAATACATGTGATTGTCCTTGATCAGCCACTCATTTCACGGGTTGATTGACCAATTTGGTTGTGGCCATTATACGGTCAACACAAACCGGAGACAAGCAGAACAATATCAGCCCATTCGTATCTGGAGCTGTCTTGGAGACAATGGAATTTCCAAGTCATTAATTGCGTTTTGAGTGTCACTGTGCCCGAACGAAACTTTCCGTCAGTTATATTCGTCCACGATAAGGCTCATTGTTCGAAAAAGGGTTCCTGGAGAACATGTGACTGTCTTATATTAGTTTTGACGATGTCAGATGCAGCAAATTAACAGTGCATTCGAGGTCATTACAGTTGCGGCCTATTTTGGGTAAGCACATCTGTGAAATGGTGACAAATATCGAGAGGTCTAGCGATGCATTCAAATTGTTTTCTTGCCATTTTTGGCGTTCAGATAAGGTTAAATAACCGCATAAATGATGATGAGCAACAATAGTCAGTCATTTTTGATGGCATTTGGCCTCTCCCGAGTTTGACTTCATACCGCAACGTGTTCCGCGTGGGGCGTATTTCGAAACCTGTTCAAAGTAAACTGCAGAATTGCAGATCATACGAAAATAACACCATACGAGACTCTCCGACTACTGACAACGGTCCACGAATATGGTTCATCCCCTAAACAAAGGTAGCTTTGTCTAATATGAATGCAAGACTGCAGTTGAACAAAGTTAGATCAAGGATTCTGGTCCCCTCTGGCACAATCCCGTTAGCACATCAGCAAAATGCCCCTTTTGGATGAGAGATAGAGGGGTCTAGGGGTGTAAACCCTTCATGGGCCGGAGACCAGTGACGAGCTCTAATGAGAGCAAAATTCGGCTTCGCTGACTCTCGAAGATTAGTTGAACAAACAGAGAACTGTGTTTTGCGATAAACACATAACAACGCAAACTCCGCTTTCGCTTCTATGTTTCTTGTTTTTAATCAGATTTGAAGTCAGCCTCTCCCTCCCCGTGGGGAGGGGGGGAGATGTAAAGGTGTTTGTTACGGTGATTTTCTGGTTTTATTTGTGTTGTGTAGTTGAAACTAAACTTGGTGCTCACAAAACATAAGACAATCTTTAACATTACCATACTGTGAGTGGTGTCTGATTAACTGGGCAAATTTATTCTGCAGACGTAACCGGCTTTGCGGTTACTGGTGATAATCAGTTATGCGTGTCGTGCATACGCTTTTCGGAACAGCCCTTACTGTACTCAAACGTTCACCATAACTGTTCCATTCTAACTTAATAGCATCTGTTCTGTTTTGTGGATATAAGACGAAAGGGCCCACAATACGCTTCGTCACTGTGTCAAAGCATCATCTATGGCTCTAAAGCAAGTTGGACTTCTCAGACGTGTTTTCGGGTAGTTCGGAATAGCACGGGTCCCACGCTTGTTATCAGCGTTTGTTCGGCCACACACGGAGTACACCGTGCAAGTATGGAATCCGTGGTTAAACCTGCGACAGGAAGGCTCTAGAACGTCCGCAGAGGCTGGCAACGAAATTGGTAAAAGGTCTATATAACAAGACACTCCGAAAGACTGCAAATATTGGGACTCTACTCATCCCAATACCGCCGATTTCGAGGGGACCTAATATTGGTATATCACATACTGCATCAACCCAACCACCCTTGCTGTTCTCTGCTGACTTTACCTCATAATGATCAACTCAGGGGACATCCACCAAAGGTGAAGACCCAGAACAGCCACCTTGATTGCCGGTATCACTCGTTTGCAGTCAGAGTGTGCGGCATATGGAATTCTCTCCCATATGATGTAGTTTGTGCTCCTACAGTTGAACTATTTAAATCGCAACTTGATAAAGCATTGGAACACTTATAATGTCAACATCCGTGAATGATCACGCAAATTATTATCATTGCTTTTTTCTCTTTGTGAAGTTATTCAAAATATTCTGTAAAAATCCTATGGGGGCATGATAAACTTTAGCTTTGTTAAATCACCCATAATAAAACTGACTTTGACAGTGTGGATCATTTCGACGTGAAAAAACGCTGTTTCCTATGCTCCAGATGGTATGAACTCTTTCCGGTTCAAGAATAACGAGATATGTCTGCGACCACTCCGTTTTAGTCTGGAACACTTTGGTATACGTTTGCCATGGAAAGTGGGGTGCTAGTTGTGTGACTGGACAGAAAATATCATTTATTTTCTCCAGATTTCCTTTACCGGCGAAATTATTCAATCCCATTTTCGTAGATTATTGGCACCCAGACCGTGAAAACTATGTTCAAAATGATGAACATCAGAGGAGACCAACCAACTGACAATTAAATAGCATCTTCTTCAACTTCCCTTTGTAACCCAGTGAATCCTTTCTTCCTTCTTTTAGTTTGATACAGAAGGAGTTGCTGTGGTGATGACCTCAGTGGAACTGAAAGTGAGTAAGAAACACTTTTGTGCTAAATCATCTCGATCGATTCCAGTTGCATTACGAACAGTTACTAAGGCAAACGGACCTGATCGAGAGTTGGTAAATTGTTTTTTACTATGATCTTTTACGAGTGCATAGCCTTTTGGAGGTTTTAGTGCGTCACCTAAATACGGAAATTGTTTTGGGAACGATAACCAGTGTTCAAAGTGCGGTCGATTGGGTGCAAAGCACATTCCTGTACGTCCGAATGCGAAAAGCACCTCAGTACTACGGTGAGTTTCTTTTTGCCCAGTTTTAAGTTCCATTTTTACGATTCTTTGCTTTATTTGATTAGGAAGCGTACAAAATGCTCTGAACTCACCTAAGTTTTCCTGCAATTTTTCGCGAATGTTGTTTGTACGTGAGATATTTCTGTTTCTCATTGGGAATTTCAGTTCTTGCGACTGTTATCCTCCTATCCCATCCATCTTCAGAACGCTAATTTTTCTATTTGTTATCCTCCCCCTAACAGTTCGGATTCTTCTGTGTGTCTGTGTTCTTTTGCTACCCCGTTGAAAATCAGACTCCTGCACCCAGATCACCATTAGTGACGATTACAGTGTTCACAACAGTCTTTGGTTGGTAACCTCCCCTCAAATCACAATCATAAATCTTGAGGCGGAATTGTTTGCCACTGCGAACAGACCATCAGAATTGATCATCGCTACCCGTGTCCCAGATTGTTCACTTTTTATTAAATTCCAGTTATCCCTTTTCTGTCGGATTTGTCCTCATATTATCCGCTGGACTCATCGGACTATGGTCAAATCGCCTTTGGTTTCCATACTCAATCCATCTTATCAGCATTTCCTTATCGTTTGATAGCCCGGCTGAACATGTTTGACGACTGGCGTGGGTTGCGATTTTTCCTGGCATCCTATTCCTGACGAACTGTTGCTTTCCTTCTCTATCCATCCACTTGTTCCCTAGATGTTGTAAGGACCATTTTACAAAGCGCACAACTGTTTATTCCTCTTTTCTAAGCCCAGGATGACCATACTCGCCTGAATGGTCTACAAATAGCTGTTCCAATATTACAGTCCCTTTATGCTAAGAACCGAAGCCAAGTTCCAATTTACGGCTCATTTTATAGCAAGCTTCTCTCTCCTTTTGTGTTCAACGTCGATATAGATAAAATTACTGAAACAGCCCTGTCCTCAAGCGACGACAGATGCATCGATTTGCTCCAAAGTGGCCAACTGTCTAATCTGGAGTATGCAGACGATTGTTAGGTGAAGACCCAGGAAAGTTGCAAGTTTTTCTATATATTTATTTTTATGCTAGTGTAACCATGTTCTCTATTAGTTTTACACCCTCCAGCTGTATAATGCTTCGACAGCACTGGGTTGGTCCAGCTATCAAGCTCAATCCGACTGGGTAAGCAATAGAACAAGTAAACGAATTCTGTTGTTTGGGCAGCTTTATCTCACGAATGAAGTTTCGGTACACATACGCTGGTATATTACGGAGATTGAAACAAGCCAAGGACTCTATTTCACTGCAGGAATTCAACAGCTTCGTGAAGCTTTATACGAAATTGTCAGTGGCGGAAACTTATGTTGAGTTCATCACATAATGCATGGAAAAATCCCAATTCCTCAAGCTGTATTTTAAGACTCTGAGAAGGAATCGAATCTGTATCACACACCAAACCACCAAACGCCAAGCTTTTAATGAAAAAGACACAATGGTCGGTCCTATCGTTGAACTAGATAGAAACTTTTTTCAAATCCACTCACGTTCTGGATTCACTGTCGTACGAGGAAAGTAATCCTTTCGAATCATTCGTCAAATCAGTGATGAGAAAAAAAATCGAACAACTGGATCAACTGGACCCTATAAAACCCATTAGTGAGTTCCCAACCAATACTGAAAGGTTTGGGCACAATTTTTACTCTACGGTGATCATCAAATGACATCCGTGAACGTTAGCTCACGTTTAACTGATACTCCTATCGCGGAGACCATTGAGTATTTGCTTGACCAAATCCAGGAAAATAATATTCAAATTGCAACACCCCTGGATTACTTGAAACAGCTAGTGTACTTTTGCACAAAGAACGTTTCGTTTAAGTTCAATAATGAAGTATATATCACCCGAAGGATGGAGTAGCAATAGAATCCTCACTCGTTGTTCTATTTGCGGATCTGTTCGTGTTCAAACGAGAGAAGAGAATTTTGAAGTGCACAATTAACCGATACAAGCTGTACAGATGAGACCACGATGACCTATTGTTTTGTGGCTAACAGCACTTCATGATATACGACTTGCTCAGGATATATGGTTTCACTTATCCCAATATCAAGTTCATTTCAGAGGTAGAGGTTAATGCCTAGATTAGTTTCGTAGACATCTGGTTAAAGCGCTACACAGGTGGTTCTTTTCAGAGGCTGATTTAAAGAAAACCGACTTGGAGCGACCAGTATCTCCATTTCAAAAGTTTTGGACCACTTAAACGAAAAAGAAGTCTGAATCAGTGTTTGGTAAACAAGGCGGTGAAAATATGCACTGATGATATCATAAATTTGTATGTCGATTGTGAAAAGTTCAGAAGCC